TCTTTAACCCTGATGACTCTCTTCCCATGAAAATTCTCCTCCTGTTGATGGCTCTGCATTTGGCATCAATTGCTTCCAATGGAAAATATGTATTGTGCACAAAAACCAACCCAATAACCAGGAAAAAAACCTCATACTCTTTGCTTTTATTTACTAAGCTTTTCATATTTTCATGGACTTCTGTGTACATTCTCATAACAGTTCCAAGACTTAGGTAGGAAAAGTTTTTATTTGTCTATTTTACAGATGAGGAAACTGAGATTCAGCAACATCGAGTGACTTACTCCAAGTCATACAGTTCTTTGGCACCGCTGTCCTGAGTCCCAGGTACAAAAGGTCCTGGCAGAAAGAAGGCAGCCGGCTCTTGGCAAACAGCAGAGCCATGTGGTGTTGATGGGGAATGGAAAGCCTAGGTGAGGATTGGTCTTAAAGAAACTTTTCCAACTGTTTGGTAACCTCAGCATCCACACTGACCAATACTTCCGCTCCTCACCCACAGTAAACTGAGCCACCTCTGAAGGCCTTTGCAAACGGTGATATGCTTTATCCCTAAATAACCCTTTCTATTATCTTAGGGGAATTCCTGGGTGGTGCAAACAGTTAAGGGGCTCGGCTGCTAACCAATAGGTTGGAAGTTTGATTCACCCAGAGGCACTTCAGAAGGAAGGCTTGGTGATCTACTTCTGAAAAATCAGCGGTTGAAAATCTTATGGAGCACAGTTCTACTCTGAAACACGTGGAATCGCCATGAGTTGGGATCAACCAAAAGGCAACTGATTTTTATTACCTTAAGAGTTCATCAGAACAGTGAAAGCACTGTGGTCTTACTGCTTGTGGTAATTAAGTGCTCAGATTAACCCCAAATTTTCGGCATTGACTTCTGGGTAGGCTGGAGACAGTGCCAAAGAGAGCAACATACACTATCTCTACAAAGTTAAAACAGTAACTGTGCACACATCTTCCTGAAATTACCCTATTGATTGTTCTATGTGTTAGATCTCTACTGGCTTCTAAAGAGCACTGGTGGTGCAGTGGTTAAAGTGCTCAGTTGCTATCCATAAGGTTGGTGGTTTGAACTCACCAGGCACTCCACAGGAAGAAGATGTGGCAGTCTGCTTCCGTAAAGATTACAGGCTTATAGACCTTGTGGGGCAGTTCTACTCAGTCCTATAGAGTCGTTATGAGCCGGAATTGATTCAACAGCAGTGGGTTTATTTTTTTGTTTGTTTGTTTGATTACTGGCTTCTGTTTTGCATTTTTATTTTCTGCTCAACAAAGGATACACTGTTCTTTACAGAGATCCCCTGATTAAAATCCAACTGTTGGAGTAATCCTGCTGCTCCCACCTATTCTAAACCCTCCCCCATTCCTTGGTTCTCATCCACTTCCATTTCCCTCTCCATTCCCCTTACAAAGGTACGGATCTGGAATTCACGTTTTTGGGGAGCTTACTGTACACACACACACCCACACAAAATGATAGCCCAGAAAGTTTCAGAATGAGGAGGAGGGAGGTGAGTGCTTGGTAGGTGGGAACCGCGATTCTCCTGACATCACAATGTTTCAGAAGAAATTAGCTCCAGGCATTAATCGTTCACCAGGCTCTGAGCTCTAGATCCAAACTTTCTTTATTAGCTGCACAGTGTGCGAGGGAGCCAGGAGTGGCAGACTTCACCCAGCTCCCTGGGAAGGCTCCTTGTGATCTCGAGAGTAACCCCAAAATGTATGAGGTGTCGAATCACTATGGTGCTACCCAGGCCCAAACCACCAGGTCAATGCCACAAGGACTTCTACGGTGGTCTTCCACATCCCAAAGGCCCCTGCGTTGCTAAGTGGTGGCTCCCTAGAAAGTAACATTTCAAATTTACATTTCTAATACTTCTCCTGTTGAAAAATGGAAATGGACTTTCAGACTTCTCAGAAATATCAGATAGAACCTCTTTCAAAGAAAAGTATTATCAATGGAATGCAAGGGACTTTGATAGGTGATCTAAGCCATCCTGGGCCACCAGACAGGGCCACCCAAAGACGTCTCGGAGAGGTGAGACTCTTCCTTTTCAAGATCTCTTGGAGGGGAGATGCCACACCATTTCAGCCATTTCGGTTTCATCTCACTGTCTAGAGTGAAGTCAAACCCCGCACTGCACTCTTGGAGAGCGTTTCTTGGGTCTGGTCCCCAGGGCAGGTGGGAACAAGCTCCTCTCTGTAGATCACATTAGCTGGGACACCCAGAGTCCTCAGAAAATGTTCTTATTAGCAAAGATAGAAATCACTGCATCTGTGCAGATAGACTGGCTGAAATTGTACATTCATTTCTTAGCAGGGATATTCATTCAACATTGTAATGAGCTCCTGAGAACAGAATCCGCATGGCTTGATTGTGCTTATTAAAAAAAAAAAAAAAAATCCTTCTGTTCCCAGAACATAAAAACCCAAGAATAAGAATAGTAAATAATGTTTTTAATTTTTTAATTTAATTTTTTAAAAAGATAGTGACATTACGTTATTTAGCACCTCTCACCAGGAGATGGCCTCCTGGGGAAAACTGGTAAACCAAGCCAGACTTGCGGGCCCACCTCCTTCCAGCTCTTCCTGACACGGGATGATCACCATTTGTTGGGAGGTGTTGTCTTGGTGAAAGCTGGAAAGTCATGTTGTAGCTACACACAGGCTGTGTGGAGGATTGATCGCTTTATGGAGTCAGAGAATTTTACTGCTGAAAAGAAGCCTGGAGTTTAACCAGTAATCACTTGCCATCGAGTGGACGCCAACTCCAGTGACCTCGTATGTGTCAGAGTGGAACTGTGCTCCCTAGGGTTTTCAAGGCCAGTTTTTCAGAAGTAGATCAGCAGGTCTTTCTTCTGAGGTGTCTTTGGGTAGACTTGAACTGCCAACCTTTCAGTTAGCAGCCGAGCACATTAACTGCCTGCACCACCCAGGAACTCCTCCCTAGAAATTAAACCAGTTACTATCGAGTCAATTCTGACTCAAGGTGAGCCCACGTGTGTTGGAATAGAACTGTGCTCCATTGGGTCTTCAGTGGCTGACTTTTCAGAAGTAGATCACCAGGTCTTTCTTCCAAGGTACCTCTGAGTGGACTTGAACCTCCAAGTGCATTAATCCTTGACACCACTCAGGGACTGCTCCCTGGAGATGACATAGATCAAACACCTCTTTCGCCAGCAAGAGTCTGAGGAGCAGGGTCTGGCACGCAACATCTGGTGTGGTGACCACTGCACAGTGAGGCCTTCCTTGGTTCTTAGGCACACAAACCCCAAGGCACGGTTTTCCCTCCATCCCCCAACTCAGCATTCCTCTCTTGACTAAGATTTCACTTTCCCATGGTTTAAAACCCACAGGCCTGTGACTCCTGCCCTGCCACAGTAAGAGAAATCAACCCCATTACCCACAACACTTGCCACATGAAAGACTGTGCATGTTTGGATGGATAAGCTAGAAATATCCCTGGCCAAAAGACAGACAATGAGTCCTGCAGCCAGAGACATAAAACTGTCAAAGAAGTGTTGATGAACGACCCAGAATGAAATTCAAAGAGAATAGAGAATAATGGGTGTCTTCGTTTTTCCAAACTCCATGGAGTTTTTCTATTCGTTTCTTTCTAAAGGCAACCTTTCCACCACAGGAGAAACTGTGGCTTTTTTTGTGCATGTGCTTTAGGTGAAAGTTTTACAATTCAAGTTAGTCTCTCGTACAAAAATTTATACACACATTGTTATGTGCCCCTAGTTGCTCTCCCTATACTGTGACAGCACACCCCTCCTTTCCACCCCTGATTTCCCGTGTCCATTCCACCAGCTCCTGACCCTCTCTGCCTTCTCATCTCGCCTCCAGACAGGAGCTGCCCATTGAGTCTCATGTATCTACTTGAGCTAAGAAGCACACTCTTAACAAGTATCATTTTATGTTCCACAGTCCAGTGTAACCTTTGTCTGAAGAGTTGGCTTCAGGAACGGTTTCTGTCCTGGGGAACAGACAGGCCAGGGGCCATGTCTTCTGGGGTCCCTCCAGTCTCAGTTGTGGCTATTTTCTTACGCTTAATCTTTACATTTGACTTTTGGGCTTAAAGTACGGAAGGCCAAGGGGGAGAAATCTGCCTACCTTGTACCTGAGACACTTGGCCACCTGGACAACAGGGAGCGAAACCATAACAAAGCACTTCATTGATCAACTGCAAAAGAATCCTTCCTTCTTCTCCACCCTCTCACCCCACCCTCTGGCAAAAGCCTGAGTAAATAGATATATTGGTGCCAAGACTTGAAGGTCAACAAACTCCTGCTTTGTCAGAGGAACATGGGAATCAAATCAAGTGGCCTTCACGGAAATGCTGTATCGTCCAGTTCCACAGGTATTTGAGTCTAAGGATTAGGAGTAGAAGTGTCTCAGGGAAGCTTGCCAAGAACATATGTAGCAGACAGCCAATGCTATGGTGTGGTTTGGGCACCCCTCTCCCCAAGAGGCTCGGCAATACCATTTCTGACTTCAACCCATGGATTCCATATGGATAAGGTGAACTTCTTTGGAATGGCCATCTCAGATCGTCAGACTCATCTGTCGCAGACAGAATTCTAAGAAGGCCCTAAGGTTCTCAGTCCCTGGTGTTAGTCTGTGAATATGATGGAATATCGCTTCATAACTGGATTACGTTCTATGGCAAAGTTAAGAGATTTTGTGTATGTAATTAAGGTTCCTAATCAGTTGACTGTAAACTAGGAAGACTATCCCGGGTTGGACTGACTTCATCAGTTGGCTTTGCTTTGTTGTTGGTTGCGGTCGTGTTATTCCCTGACTCATGGCAACCCCATGCACAACGGGATCAGACCATGGTGATCCACAGGATTTTCATTGACTGATTCTTCAAAAGTAGGTCTCCACGCCTTTCTTCCAAGTCTGTTTTAGTCTGGAAGTGCCACTAAAACCTGTTCAGCATCACAGCAACACACAAGGCTCCAGTGACAGAAAGGTAGTGGCTGTGCATGAGGTGCTTTGGCCAGGAATTGAACCTGGATCTCCTTCACGAAAGGCAGGAGTTCTACCACTGAACCACCACTGCCCTCATCCAGCTGACTTGAAGCTGATCAAAAAGGGGATTATCCCACCACATAAATAAAAAGAAAGAAAAGAATCACGTGATCATCTCAATGGACACAGAAAAGGCATCTGACAAAGTCCAACACCCATTCCTGATAAAAACTCTCAATAAAATAGGTATAGAAGGGAAATTTCTCAACATAATAAAGG